AGACTGCCCCTCCGAGATCTTACCGACACGGAGGTGGGGCACTGCAGGGGCTGACCCTCCCGCTCCCGCCCACCGGCTGCTCTGATACCGGCTCCTGCGGGCTCCGTCCTAACTTCACATCCAGAGCCGCCCATGCTCACACTCACCCGGTAAGAGGTGCTAGGAATTTCCCCATTTCACAGGGAAGACTGAGGCCCGAATAAACACACTCCATACCCAATGCACCCAACTAGGTTACCCCCTCACATACACACACACACACACTCATACACACGTGCACGAACCCCATGTCTTCTTCATCCTTCCACTCTGTTCAGGTGAGGGACAAGGCCCTGGCTGGGGGTGACCACACGGCTGTGGTCGCCCCTGGGGCCTGGGAAACCCTGCGTGGGGAGAAGGAGGCCGCATGGCCAGGGCCCATGGCCAGAGAGGATGCAAACCTGGGCTGAGATTTTCCCAGGGCCAAGGGCATTCCTCTGCCTGGCAGCCTTGTGACAGGATCACAGGCTAGCTGCTGGTCTCACGCTGGCTGCTCCGTGCCCCCAGGGCTCAGGCTTGGCCCTGGGGCTGTTGTCAGTGACCCAGCTCCCCCAACTCTGGCATAAAATCATCTTGGGTTTCAGGACTTCTGGGCAACGGCGAGGAACCCCTCTCAGGAAGTAAGAAGGCACTTTGCAGAGCTGGAGGCACAAGAAGCACTGACTCCACAGAGCAGGTGGGTGGTCTTGCTTCTTGGGCCTCCTTCAAAAGCTCCTTACAGGTGTGCCTCCTTCCTGCCAGGCCTATCTGTCACAGATGTGTGCATCTGGGCCCCTTGCCTCGAGCCTAGAAACAGGCCAACCTCCTGACAGCTTTGTAAACACACACTGACTCTCACAGCCTGAAGCACACTCTTGGCCTTGTCACACAAACCAGGTCTGTCCCCTTCTAGCCCTGCACACATGACAGGTCTGACTCCACAGGACGTGGCTTCCAAGGTGCATCTGAGTGAGAAATGAGGCCTCATTAACTCAGTACAACTGTTTATGCTTCCACACCCCCAGGAATTGGCCTCAGGGGCCAAACCATCCAAACCAAACAGGACTGGCCTCTAGGGAGCCCTGAGGTCGGCATGCTCGGCTCCAGCGGATCCTGGGAGGGCTGGAGCCGCCACCCCACTGCCCAGAGTGACCCCATTCCACTCTCCTTCCTGTCGTCCTCTTGCAGGCCCCAGGCCTCCTCTGGACCTCCCAGACCAGCGCTGCCCAGAGAGAGAAGGAAAGGCCAGGAAGGGGGTCCCAGGGACATTGTGGGTCTCTGCCCTTCTGGGGGCCTTGGGACCCAGGACAAGTGACTCAAATTTCCTCACACACAAACGTCAATGACAACAAACTGTTTGGTGAGACAAGATAATGCTCAAAGCCCAGTGCCCAGCGTGGAGGACACTCTCCTAGTGAGCTCTGATGGCCTGTGGACCCAATGAAGCTCAGAGCTGAGGCCACAGGAATAATGGCGCCCCCGGGATGGAGTAGACCCCCCCGAGATGGAGCAGATCCCCTGGGATGGAGGGGACTCCCCAGGATAGAGCAGACCCCCCCGGAATGGAGCAGACCCCCCTGGGATGGCACAGACCCCCAGGATGGAGCAGACCCCCTGGGATGCAGCAGATCCCCCAGAATGAAGTAGGACCCCCGGGATGAAGCAGGTCCCCCGGGATAGAGCAGAGAGGGCAGCAAGAGTATCACACAGGTGCCTTCCTCACACCCTGCCTTGTCCCAATGCACAATACGAGGCAGGTTCCACAGCGGCGCTTCCCAAGCCTTTTTTTTTTTCATTATCGTCCCCCTCAGGAGCATTTTGAGGTATTCCCCCCCCCACTTCCCCTTGTCCCTTTGAAATTAAATACTAGAAAATAAGGTTTTGTTGAGGAGACTGAACTAGGAAAGCCACGTACCACTGGAATAACTGCAGGTTTTTTAAGCCCCAAAATACCAATTTTGGCCCACTTGGAGGAAATATACAGCTGTGCAGAATGCCCTGGAGATGCCAGTACAACTAGATAGAAAAAAAAATCGATAAATCAATGGGCAACATTCTTTACAAACAGAAGAACGCATTCTCTATGTGCACAGTAGCTACAACATGCGCGTACATGTTGCTGTCGGGAAAAAACGATAAAGCCAGTATTTAGAAAATTTTACAACTCAAGCTAAGGTGGTGGGATTTCTAAAATCCTAAACTGTGATATTCTACTGGTTTTTTTTAAAGTTAAAGATAGAGAAAAGAAAAAAAAGAGAGAAAAAGAAACCCCAAAATGGTTGGTGGTAAATAAGGAGAAAGTGACTGCATCAGCAGGGACAAACAGGACACATCCTGAGAGGGCTGAAGAGTCCCAGTTAGAATGAGGCACAGATCGGTCCTGAAATCTGCTGTGTGACTATGGGCAAGGCACTAGATCTCTCTGAGCCTTGTCATTTGCTGCATAAGCATGAACAGGAAAGCACCCAGCCATGCCTCGTATGTTGTAGGTACTCGGAAACTGCGTCTGAATTAATGAACACTACTAAGTAGAATCTACACAAACCACAAGACGAGTCAGCTATAGAACAGGATTCGAATCCAGGTCTCTTAGCTCATTTCACTAGCCGGCCGTACCTCCAAAGACCTTATATTTCTTGCCATTTTCAAAGGAAGCAGAGCTTGCCTCCTCCAATCTCATCAAAAACTGAATGGCAAAGAGCCGCAGGAATGAAATCAAGTTGCTGATACTAAGGTATCACTGCCACCTGGTGGCAGCATACCTAAATCATTGGTGGGGGGAGGGGGAGACGACACTGTCAAAAGGGGAAAACTACCCATGTCTTACTCATGCCTGAGACACAAGCAAATGCTTGCACAGCGAGAACAAAGGTCATCATCCACCACCTGGCAAAGGGGCCACTCACTGCTGGGCATTTACTGATTCCTTGGTACCCTGACTTGGGTTTCTTGGATGATTTCTTTCCTTTTTTAAAAAAAATTAACTGATTAAATGTAACAGCCATAAACTAAACACCACCAAAATTGAGTGCAGACATCCAGGTCTTTATGAGAACTGCTAGAAACCCAGGGATCCCCAACTCTGCACTTGCTCAATCAACTGTCTGAACCCTATATGCAACACTTGCCGTCTGAACTTGTACATTTCAATCTTGTCACTTTTAAATCATCCTTTGAGCTGTCACGATTTCCTGAAAGGTGGCTGGCTATGCCCACCACCTTAGTCATCCCTTGTAGCAGCGTAATATTCACACATTTCAGAAGCACTGCCTTTTAGGTGTTCCCATAGATTCCAGAAAATGGTTAAGAAAATGTGGACCAGGGCAAGGCAGAAAGCAGAGCCCTGCAGAAGCCACTAAAGACAGCTTCTCCCTGTGACACTGATCTTTGCACCTTTCAATGAGGCTGTCAGGTGGACAGTATGTCTCCAAGTACTTTCTGCCCCACCCTGAGCAAGGCAATCCCTTACTGAGGAGTCACAAGGAAAACATGCATGGAGAACAGAAGAGGGAACGCTCTGGGTAGCCGTTGTTCATGACAGTGAAATGGCCTCTTCCTTCAGGGAGTTCCTGACTACCACATCACCCTCTCGACTGCCCGGGCATTTGACTCCCAGATGGCCTGCCACAGGTCCTGACCTGAGACACACCTGGCGGCAGAGAGCCAGGCCTTCGGGACAATGTCCCTGCAGAGATCAAGCTATCAGCAGCATGTGCCACCTGCCTGCACTCAGAAACATAGAGGAATGAGAAAGACCTAGGTCTGAATCCTGCCCCAGGCCCTTACTAGCTGTGGGAGCTGGGCTCCAGCCTGGCCTTGCCTTTCCCATATATAACATGGGAGCAATGATAACAACTAGCCTTACAAGGCTGCTGCAAAGGTGAAAGAGGTATGTGAGGTGGCCTCATGCCCTGGGCACACAGCAGGTGCTCAATAAGTGCTAGTCCTTTTCCTTTGCAGCTCCAATTTGGAGACTACCACTTAGCCTCTGAGACAGCCACATGAGCACAAAGCGAGGGGACCTGCCGCTGTTGAGGGAAGGAGGGGAGCGGCCCTCGTTGGGACCAGGAATGTCATTTTCTGAGGTTGTAATTCTGTCCTCTGCCCAGCTGTAACAAGAGCCCCCCTGGAGGCATGAGAGGAATTCAGACTGTCCCCTGGTTGTCCCAGCATGGCATCTGGCCTCAAACCCTGCAAAGGCCTGGCTGCTCACCCCACGATCCTCCAGCTTAGTGTGAGATGACAGCACAGGACATGCACCAGTCATCCTAGCCACACCCTGCTGGTTCTGCGAGGCCAAGGGCCTGCCATGGCTTGTTCTAAACTAAAAGATAAGAAGGCAGGAGAGACGGGAAGACAGGGTGCAAGGGTCCTGAACCAGAGCAGAATGTGGACCCCCTAGGGGGATGGGAGGACCCCTCTCGTAGATCTGGCCCCTGGGTCTTGAAAGTGCCCTGCAGGGGACTAATTCACCCTATGTGCTAGAAGGCTCTGGACCAGCTTTCAGAGCTAGAACCAAATTAGGCCAAAGAACCAGATAACGGAAAGGAAGTGAAGCCTATGGAAATATATGGTTGTGTGTCTGCATCTCTGATAAATTTACCTTTGGTGCCACCTTTGGAAGTAACTTTCAAACCATCATTTGTGCCTCTGAAGTCCTGTTCCCCAGGCCCCTCAGGGCAGCCCCAGCTCTGACAGCAAGCGGTTCCACAATCCTTTTGGAAGCAGGCAAAACACTACAAGGCTCATGGGCAAAGTCAAGGGCCAGTGGGGCAGGAATGCAGTTTCGGCATCATGGGGGAAAGGTATCAACCATCCAAGAGGGAAGCGAGGGGCTTTTATACAAATCGAGCAAAGGTCCTCAGCTGAGCTGACCAGAAGACAAGAGACCTCTGCCCTCACTGGACAGACCAGTCCCGAGCCCATACTCAGCTGTCGAGACAAAGGCGGCCTCTCAAACAAGCAAGTGAGTCAGGACTTACCTTCCACTGCAGAGAATGGAACCACTGGTCCCGCAGGTAGCTGTTGGCAGCCTGCAATGAGAAAAACAGGACAGCAAGGTCCAGTCACTGGCTTGTAGCATTTCAGAGCACCTTACAGGCCAGCATGCAAGCCCCACCTGCTCTGTCCCGCAGGGTCTACCCTGTGACCCTGCTGAGCCTTCCAAGGGATGCACCAAGCTGAACCCCTTGTGTGTAAAACCAAACCAGAAGCGGGCACCCGGGGAGGCGTGTCTGAAACAAGACAGCACTGCTACTGGGCACTTGTTTTGCTGGGTAGACACTGTGGCTGGAAGAGCTTTTCTACTCACTCAGGATCACAGAGGGGCCAGGATGAGTGAGGAAGAGGCACGTGGTAGGATGATGACGGCAGAGCGGACTGGGTGCTCTCCCAGCACTGCTCTGGGCGCTGGGTGTTTGTTATCCGCATCATCTGTCCTCAGCCCTCACATCAGCCCTATGCGGTGGGCAATACTGCATCTATTTCACAAAGGGAAAAACTGAGACCCCCCGCACTCACGTCAACTAACCACAGTTAAACCCAGCAGCCTGGCTACCAAGCCTGTGGGTTTAACCACTATACCTCCTGCCAAGTGCAGAAAGCCACGGTAGAACGCACCCAGTCTTGAACTCAAGCAGAACTACATTAAAAAATTACCATGTGGGGAACAGGACCTTCCGTGATCCACACCACACTAGTTCAGAGACTCTGGGCCACTCAGCGTCACGCTGCTCTCACTCCTGGTCTAGCAGATTTGCTGATGGCAAGAGCAGTATTTATGGCATGTTTAATGTGCGCCAGACACAGCGCTAAGCCCACGTGTGGAATGGCTCATCCAGTCCTTTAAAGTCAACGCTGGGAAGCTGGCACTGTCAGCACCATCACCCCTATGGTACAGATGAGGAAACTGAGGCTTGGGAGGGTTAAACTCTCCCACAGGCTCACAGGCAGTAGGTGTGGGGCCAGGGCTTGCACCCAGCAGTCATGCTGAGGCCAATGTTACAGCATTTCAAGTCTGCCACGGGCCACTCCCAAGGCAGAAATGCAATGTCCCTTCCCTCCCTGACCCCACAATTCTCCGCTCCAAGTGACCCTGACCCTGATGGTC